ATTTTTCACACCCTCAGCTTAGGTAACTTATTTCTTCAATTGTAAAGCTTGAGCCCCAAGTGTTAATGTTTCTATTTGTGTGTTTATTACTAGCTTCCTTTGATTCGTCTATTATTAACTTGCTTTAGGTGGTTAAAGGATTTTTTTTATAAATTAGAAATAGCTTCCAATTCCCTTGGGTGCTGCTATTTGGTGAATTTTTAGTTGACCTTGATTGATTTAATGCTAGTTCATGCTTTTATATATGGAATCATTATGTTATATGCTAGAGCAGACTAGATCATGGATTGTCTTGTGTAACCTGTGGTCTTTACCAGATCTGACCTTGGGTTATGCATAAAGTTAGTTTGGTCTAGCTCATGCACAACTCTAGTTTTGACGATAACAAACTTAAGGAAATACTATTTTGCTGAAATAATCTTAAATGGTAAAATATTTTGATCCATCCTTTTTCCTTATCTATGATTTAACTGATAGATCATTCAAACAGTGAATTTGAATGGTAACATTCGAACTCAATATTCAAATTGAACAGACATAGACCTATAACTCCTTGTCACTCATTCTTTTAAAGCTTTGGGTATTCAAAACATCTATTCGAATATTTCTCTAAAGTGACTTTGTCTCGCTAGTTCGAAATCATTTATGTATTTAGATCATATATTCAAACACCATCTAAAAAGTGAATCCAGATGAGGTACAGAACAATATTTCATTAATCCATCTTCTAAGATTATAGTTATTCAGATAATCTATTCAAATCAACTTTGAGCTAGCTACCTTGATAAATAATTTGTTTCAGTCATAATCTTAGTTTCTATCAACTTGATCTTAGTGATATTCAATATGTGAAAATAATAACTTGAGTCAACTAAGATTTCAGTGTTTATCCTAACTGCTATACTAGAATTGATTACTTGTGTTCGAACAAGTCATTTGGATCATATACTTTTCTTAGGACTAAGCTTCAAAAGTTTGGTTCAAATCTTAAATTTGGATAATGTGGTTGTGAAGAAAACTGACAGAATTCATTCAAATCATCTATTCGAACAAAGCAATTGAAGTAAGCATTCAAATATATCGCCTAATTTATCTCCTCATGTCTTTCATATACTGAGCTTTAGTGAAGCTTTACTTTGAATCAAGTTTGGAACTTGTTTATTTTGTAAGGAGGAAGCATTAAATGACGAAATAGCTGTTCATCTATCTAGGTTACTTTTATGAGAAAGAGATAAACTACACTCTGAACTTGCAAAGAACGCTGTAGCGAGAAAATTAGTGTGTTTAACAGTTTGAAGTTTGTGCCCAACAAAGAATCCACCTTAACCGATTATAAATAGATATGCATTCAAGACAAAAGCAAGATTTGCCAATCTTAGGAGAGCCTGGGGATTGGATGTTGATCTTTGGAGGGATTGAACCAAGATAATTCCTTGTGTTTGATATTTTATTTCTTCAGCGAAGTTTTGGTGATATCCATTCAACCTTATTCTATTATATTTTTGTTTAAATTCATTTGTGGGTTGAGATGCATCAAATATATTGAAGTATTTTGTGGTGCAACTTGCATCTTGAAGTATCTTTCAAGGGCAGTATTATATCTGTATTGATACTGAATGCACCAAAAAATATAGGGAAAATTTTGATTAAGGACCGTAGTTGAGAATTTATTTCAAACAACCCTCAAAACCTTCTGAAATGTCACTGTAGGACCAAAGGACCAAATTAAAATTAAAATTAAGAGTAAGATTACAATAATATCCCTCATTTTTATTTTTTCTAAAAAATAAATATTAATGGTCTCCGGAGTTCCAGCCATCGAAGGTCGGAGGTCCGGCCGCTAGAGCTTAGGTGGCTACTGCTAGAGGTTGGAGCTCCGGTAGGTGCTACTATAAGTCTGATGGCCGGAAAATTTTTTTTTAAAAATAAGGTGACCAAGGGAAAGTCTAAACCCATGACCCTTGGCATATCAAAAGTAATATGACCACCAAGCCAAGCAAACCACTTAATCATATAATGCAAATAAAAATATATATAACAAAACAAACGCAAGTGTCTAAGTGTAAGTGAACAAGTGAAATTTGACAATTTACAATAAAAATTTGGCAATTTACAAATAACATAATGCAATTTACAACCCTAAATGCAAGTGTTTATGTGTAAATAAGCAAGTGGAATTTAAAGATTTACAACAAAAGTTTATAGATTTATAACCCAAATTTGGCTATTCACAAGGAACACAAGAGAATTCACAACCCAAAATGTAAGTATTTGAGTGTAAATAAACAAGTGAAATTTAGCAATTTACAGGGCAACATGGCTTTTAAAAAACTGAGATACACATGCTTTCTATGCCATTTTAGGATAAAATTACGCCTAAATCTTTTTTAAATTAAAAGAACAGTTAAGAGAATGAGATTACAAACAACACCATTAGCAATTGTTAGGTTTAAAATTAAATGGACTATTCTGCACGCTACGCATGAGATAAGCATCTGATAGGAATTTTACTTGGTAAGATTTTGTTTTTTCTCTAGTGATTATTTATACTGTGAACAACCCCTAAACAGAAAAAAAGGGTCAAGTTTCGTGAATCTCAAAGTCATATAGCCCACTGCGAATAGGGGTTGGGTCTAGATTAGTTCTTCACAACGTGACGAATCAAGGTCCGAATCCTCACTGGAAGAGGTGCTCACATTTAGTGCTCGACAGTGTCTTGGATAGAATTGCCTCCGATAGGAAGATACCTATTCTATTCTTTAGGGGGGAAAAAGGAAAAATTGCAAATAAAGACCTCCCAATATATAAAATAGCAATTAGGACCTTGAATTTGGAAAATAGCTATAGAGGACTCGGTCTCAAATTGCAAATATGAAATGTAGGTTAAATGTCTGAAATGCCCTTCTTCTTTTTTCTCTTTCTTCCTCTCCAAATTTCCTTCTCTTTCCTTATTCTTTTCCTCTCTCTCTCTTCGTTCTCTCTTTCCTCTGGATCTTTTCCTCTCTAGATTTCCTTCCCTTTCCTCACTCCTTCCTAAAGTATATGGAACTCACAATGTCCTTCAACAGTGCTCTTTTTATTGTCATCCCCCGTCACTTTCTTCTTATCTTGCTTAGCTGTTTTTTCGTCGACAATGAAACATCTTCCATCATTCTCTCTGTTGCTGTGGAAGGAGAGGAGAGTCGGGGAGTTTGACGAAGAGTGACAGTCATTTGCAATGCTTGTGATGTTTGCTTGTAATGTGTGCGATGATTGCTTGGTGTTGAGACAACGCCCAACAAATCTAGATTTTTATTCTTCATTTTTATTTTGATTTTCAGCCTGTGTTCATAATTGAAAATAACAAGTTTGGTAAGTTGTTGAAAATAACGAGTTGACAAATTCTGATACGCACTCCATGACAAGCTCAGTAAGGCGAATGACAAGTTTAGCAAGGTAAATAACAACTTCTAATAAGCAATTCATAGAAATTTGAGTTTCTGTGTTAAAATGACAAAATTTTTAGATTTCTTTAACGGAGGACAAGTTTTGATAAACAATTCATGACAAATTCAGTAAGGCGAATGACAATTTCTGATAAGCAATTCATAGGAACTTAAGATTCTGTGTTAAAATGACAAAGGGGACAATTCCTAAAGAAATCTGAACTTGTCATTCGCCTTACTGAACTTATCATGAATTGCTTATCAGAACTTGTCATCTGCTAAAGAAATTTGAAAATTTTGTCATTTTAACACAGAAACTTCAATTCCTATGAATTGCTTATCAGAAGTTGTCTTTCGCCTTACTAAACTTGTCATTTGTCAAGAAATTATGAAAATTCTGTCATTTTAACATAGAAACTCAAATTTCTATGAATTGCTTATCAGAAGTTGCCATTCGCCTTACTAAACGTGTTATTCGCCTTACTGAACTTGTCATGAATTGCTTACCGAAACTTGTCATCTACTAAACAAATCTGAAAATTCTATCATTTTAACACATAAATTTAAATTCCCATGAATTACTTGTCAGAAGTTGTTATTCGCCTTATTAAACTTGTCATTCGCCAAGCAACTATGCACATTGTCATTTTAATACAGAATCTTAAATTCCTATAAATTGCTTATCAGAAATTGTCATTCGCCTTACTGAATTTGTCATAAATTGCTTATCAGAACTTGTCATCTACTAAATAAATCTGAAAATTCTGTCATTTTAACACAGAAACTCAAATTTCTATGAATTGCTTATTAGAAGTTGTTATTCACCTTGCTAAACTTGTCATTTTCCTTACTGAAGTTATCATGAAGTGGGTATTAGAACTTGTCAACTTGTTATTTTCAACAAATTACCAAACTTGTTATTTTCAATTATGAAAACAAGCTAAAAATCAAAATAGAAATGAAGAATAAAAATCTAGATTTGTTGGGTATTGTCTCAGCACCAAGCAATCATCGCATACATGGTAAGCAAACATCGCAAGCATTGCAAATAACTGTCACTCTCCCTCAAACTCCCCGACTCTCCTCTCCTACCATAACAACAGAGAGAATGATAGAAGAGGTTTCATTGTCGACGAAAGAACAGCTAAGCAAGATAAGAAGAAAGTGACGGGGGATGACAATGAAGAAAGGACTGCTGAAGGACATTGTGAGTTCCATATATTTTGGGAAGGAGTGAGGAGGAGGAAGGAAATTTGAAGAGAAAATGATCCAAAGGAAAGAGAGAACAAAGAGAGAGAGGAAAAGAATAAGGAAAGAGAAGGAAATATGGAGAGGAAGAAAGAGAAAAAAAGAAGGGCAATTAGACAATTAACTCACATTTTATATTTGCAATTTGGGACCGGGTCCTCTGCAGCTATTTTTAAATTTAAGATCCCTAATTACTATTTTATAGATTAGGAGGTCTTTATTTGCAATTTTCTCCAAAAAAAAAAAAAAAAAGTCACAGCCCACTTGCCGCGAAACTGAACAGCCTCTTGCTGCATTCAACCCTTGCAGCGTCTGCGCTTAAATTTCTTGGGCCAACTGTCCTTGTTCTTCCCTTAAATCTTATACTTGTGATTCAAAATTCAGAGAGCCAAAACAAGACCAGTTTATCTATCCCTCAAATGGAGGATGCTGAAGGAGTCCTCAGCTTCGATTTCGAAGGCGGCCTAGACAGTGCTCCCGCCAATCCAGCTGCGCCATCCGGGCCTTTGGCCCCGTCTGATTCTCCCGCCGTTGCTACCGCCGCAGCTAATGGTGCGCCTCCTGGGGCTGCCGATCCTATTGCGAGCAATATTCCCGGTCGCCGGAGTTTCCGGCAGACGGTTTGCCGGCACTGGCTTCGTGGACTCTGCATGAAGGGCGATGCCTGCGGCTTCTTACACCAATATGACAAAGCGCGGATGCCCGTTTGCCGGTTTTTCAGATTATACGGTGAGTGTCGGGAGCAGGACTGCGTGTATAAGCACACAAACGAAGATATCAAGGAGTGTAACATGTATGTATGACCACCCAATTTCTGTTGACCTAATGCTCTGCGTAAACTCGATTTGATTTTTGTCCCTGGAGTTGATCGTAGGGTTATGGTTTTTGTACTGAATGTGCCTTATTGGATGTTCTTTGCTTAAGACAGGACCATGAACTTGTATGTCACTGTTTTTACTGTTATTGCGTCCGCAGGTACAAGTTGGGATTTTGTCCAAATGGTTCTGATTGCCGGTATAGGCATGCAAAATTGCCTGGACCTCCCCCTCCTGTGGAAGAAGTGCTTCAAAAAATTCAGCATTTATATTCTTACAATTATGCCAATTCCAACAAATTTTTCCAACAAAGAGGGTCTGGCTATTCTCAGCACGCTGAGAAATCTCACTTTCCACAAGGTCCTAATTCTGCAAACCAAGCTGTCCCTGGAAAGCCGCTAGCAGCAGAATCAGGCAATGTCCAGCAGCAGCAGCAGCCAATACAACAGTCTCAGCAGCAGGGTAGCCAGAATCAAATACAAAATACTACTAATGGCCAACCCAATCAGACGAACAGAACAGCGACACCTTTACCTCAAGGAATATCTAGGTGTGTTCAGAGACCTGTGGTTTTCAAATGGGCTGTATAAATTGGTTATCATTTTGCTTATGTTAATAATTTATGTTAAGTTCTCGTTAATTTTATTTGCTTTACAGAATAATGTCACTTATCAATTGCCGACAGTTTGCTCAAGACTACTGTTGCCCGCATGCATTTCATGCTGTGCAGTATTGATTTATTTAATTTCTTGTATACAATTGGCTTGGGTTACCCAGACACTGTAGTTTTAATTTAATGGGAAATGCAGATGTTACACCCTTTGACTTTCCTATGAGAATTTCCTGCCTCAGTTAATTGCCCAGTCTCGGGACAATAAGTTATTATTGGTTTGTAAATTTTAGCAGGGATTTTGTATCTTCTTTTTGGATTTTACTTTTGGCATATCTGTACTGGTAGATGGTAAGGTCTTATTTAAACGTCCCCAGTTTTTTCTTTAATTGGGCTCTGAAGTTGTGTTAAAAAAAGATTTTATTGCACTTACGTAATCTATACATTGGGCATAATATCTTATGTGGTTGCTTCTGTTAGTCATAGAAGCAACTAGATAATATATGCGCGTCCACATGCATAATTACATATACTTACATATACATATGAATGGGTGTGGGTGTACGAGTTAGGCTATTGAATGTTAAAATTTGAATCAAAGGTCTATTATTCAAAGATGCAATTTATTCAAGGATGCAAGAGAGTCCATTATAAATGAGTTGTGACCTTTATTGCTGCCGGTTGGTCTGTCCTACAGAATGTACCACAAAAAAAGATACGGTCTTAGTCAGCAATTATTGTGCAAAGGAACATATGTTTCACAACATTATCTATGAAAACTCCCACAACATCTACAGTTGAGAAAGGGCGTTATAATCAATTGGAATGTGCAGCTTTCCCCAAGCAGTCTACAACCACTAAAATTACTTATTAAAAAGATTTGAAAAGTTCTTCAATGTAATCTATTGCCTAATCCATACATATTATGCTCGGAATAGGTAGTGACTTTGACAGTTCAGGTTAATTCCTCATATCTTTCTCCATACCCTTCCAATAGAAAATTGCTGCCAGCCTTTTGGATGTAGAAGTTACCCCTGAGCGCCTACCTGTTGGGCTATTGGGAAAGTCTCCTATCAATATACTTTGTGACTAAGTGCTGGCTTCTACCACTAACCTCCCCTTCTTTTTCAAGGTCTGATTTAGCCAATAGTGCTTGAGATATTGATCTGGATTCTGCTTCAGCTGATTCATTAGGCTTCTTATATTCTCATTATGAACTTGATATAGTTTAATTTTGGCGTGCAAGCTTGAGAAAATTCTAGTAATAGTCAAGCATTGGCTGCTGCTTGCTGGCTTCCTTTACCTCTCCTTGCCTTGAGATAAGATGCTTGCCAAACAAGATACATAGTTTTCCATTGTAGCCCCGTGACGGGCTTACTATTGTCAAGGTATTACTTGCAGTCCCCAGTACAAATAAATTATCCTTAAACATAGTAAAAAGAAGTTGTACTGTTGAAGTGGGAAGGAAGTATATATTTATATACACACACACTATACCAAACAAATTTGAATGGAAAACAATGTGGCAAACACACTAATTCTGTCACCTCTATTTTTCTTATCATTCTGAAAAGGCTAGGCTACATTTTTTGAAAGAACATGTAATCTGTTATAATCTAGAAATCCAATTCTCTAAAAGAGATGATAGTTGACGAGAAGTTACATACGCTTGACCGAAACCAACAATAAAGAAAAAATAACTAGGAAAACAAATGAATAGGGTAAAAGAATGAGTTGGGACTGGATTGAATCCCAATTTCCAACGTTGCAATTAAGTTCTCTTGAAATTAATATATTTTATTCACTTAAAATTTTAATTCCTATCATATTGTCCTCTGTTAATATCAATGTCAAATTATGCTATTGCATCATGATCCTTTGTGACTAGAATTTCAACTAGCATTATCTGCAATATCTACAATGACTCTGATGATTATGTACAGGACCCAAAATTGAAAGTAAGGTCATGTTTTCAAGAAGGGTTATGTGCAGCTTGTAAATAGTAAACTAAGAAAGTATATCTTTAGTTGAAGACTGTTTTTTCACTTAAAATGAATTTCACTAAAGTACTTCCAACCAAAATCTTAGGTATTTTATTGTTAAAAGTTGCAATCGTGAAAATTTGGAGCTATCTGTTCAACAAGGAGTATGGGCAACTCAAAGGAGCAATGAGGCTAAATTGAATGAAGCCTTTGACTTGGTGGAGAATGTGATATTGATTTTCTCTGTCAACAGAACTCGACATTTTCAGGTGAGTTCAAAAAGTTGCGGCATCCCACTTGACTTTGTCCTGTTGTATCCATCTTTAGCAGTTTTATGATTTAGCATATCCTGCGATTATTACTTTGAGTGGTAACTAACTTGTGGTTTCTTCCGAAGACATATGTTGGGAATCATTACTTCTCATTTTAACATTATTAATTGGCTATATAGCATCTATTCTTTTAGGAAGCTGAACCAGAAACCTAACCTAACTTTTTCTGTTTTCAAATGGTAGTGGCTTATAAAGTTAACCAGAAGTAATCTGGATTTTTTACAGGGTTGTGCAAAAATGACATCCAGAATTGGGGGCTCGGCTACTGGGGGTAATTGGAAATATGCACATGGAACTGCACATTATGGACGTAACTTCTCAGTTAAATGGCTAAAGGTTTGAAATCTCTCTTTTACAAACTTAAATGAATGACTTTTCTGATTGGTAGCTTTATGCCAAAAGGTGGAGGTGAGCACCGCTAATTATACCTAATGGGGTTCTCACGGAGCAAATGGGAAACTAAAACTAGAAATTATTGTGTTGGAGAAGCTTTCAAATAATGCCATTTTTGGGCCAAACTACTCTGCAGCTTGGACTACTCAAGACAGTCAATTTGTTTTTCAATTAGGAACAGTTGCTTATATAACTTTCAGAACCTCTTAATGAATGTTTTTGGATATAATAGTTTGTGCAGTAGTGCCATGATGGTCAAGTGAAATTTGAGGATTTGTAAAGCTGAAGCTTAACCTCTATTTTTTGCGGCGCTATTGTTATTTTTGCATCTATGCAATCCTTCGTTATTGGGCTCTTTAGTTTTCTTCTTCTTCTTCTTCTTCTTTCTTTTTTTTTGGGGGGGGGGGGGTGATGTACAGTTACAAAGGAGGAAATCGGCAGTGCCATTTCTTTCTTGGAAATGTTTCTTTGATGAATATGCTGATGAACTGAAGGGCTTTATTGTTTTCATATGTATGTGCGCGTAGATATATATATATATATATATATATCTATTCCTACTACGTAGCAGGAATGTTTATTTCTTTTCAAAATCTGTTTGCTTCTAAAATGGAGGAGGGAAACTGGGAGGTAGCCCGTGAAAAAACAATTGAACTTGTAGAAAATAAAATTCAGATATTTAAGCCTCCTAAAAGCTTGGCTTGACTTGATTGTTTCCAGCAATTTAAACTTACGTAGTCCTTTTGCTTTAATCAACTTACCTTCAAGGCATAATATTCTTTTTAACATTTCTTATAAAATATTGACCTGAAGAGAAAAGTCTCTTGAGAACGTGTGACTAGGATAAGCTCCTTGGTTGTAGATAGAGGGGATGTTTTTTCCATAGAGTAGCCCTTCCATCTATTTGAGTCCTACGTGCTGCTGAAAATGTGTCAAATCAAAGCTGCCAAGGAAGGTTAGACTGTAGTGCCTGGTGAAAATAGAGCAAAAACATCAATCTTGAGCTTCTTTGTTGCTAGTGATAGGGATCCCATAAAAACAATCCAGTTTGAGTATTGTCAAGTCACAGACGACATCAAATACATAAAACTGTTTAATGATCTGCTATAAGCTCAGGGGGAATGACTATCTACAATGGTTTCAGTTTGAGTTAATGTTCATTGGAAGGAAGAAGATTGAGAAATATCTCATTGGAGAGTCTTCAATACCAAAGGAAGATGAGTTTTGGTATGAAACAGGATGGGGGAGAATATGGTGATGTCCCGTCGATTGCATTCTATGGCTCAAAGTACATGAGTGTTATTTGTTTCCAACTATTACAATGGAGATATGGGACTCAGCTGAAAAGATGTGTTCATAAGTGGAAAATACAACGTTGTTCAAGTTAAGAAGACACTGGGAATTGAGACCAGGTGATGTGACTGTCACTCAATTCTATAGTGGGCGCAATGACCTATGAACTTTTTTTTCCCCCCCAGATTTAATGACACTTATGAAGAAGTGGAGTGTTATGGGCATGAATCCTCTTCCATCTCTGCAAAATGCGCTTAACATTGTCAAGTGGGAGGAGAGTAAAAAGGTGTCTATTCAGACTCTGATGCAAACACTAAACAACTCATGAAGTCTCAACACTTGTGGCAAGGGAGCATAGTCCTCACACCATAAGGAGAAGAAACATTGTAAATGTGGCCATTACATTAAGAATGGTCATTTTTGAGAAATCTCGTTGGATGCTTCATGATAAGCCACCAAACACCTAGCAGGGGTCAAAATCAGAATGTAAATTCTATATAGTGACAAGTGATGAGGAGGGAGAACTTGAGCATGGTAGGCATAGTAGAAAGGAGCTAGAAGCACTGATGATGTGATCAGAGAAACATGGGTATCATCCTCCAAGGAAAGAGAGGACCTTCTCTACATGTGGAAACTTGGGTCCATTAGGTAATTCATTCACTGGACTTTCACACTTAGGTGCTGATTGGTAACACTTGAATAATTGATTAGGGTGCCAATGATCATATGCCTGGTAACAAGAACTTGTTTTAAGTTTCTTCAGCCTTGTAATGAAGGCCTTAATGTAAAAATTGTGAATATAACATTTGCAATGGTGGATGATTCTGGCACAACAGTAATATCTGATGCTTTGGAACTAAGAGATGTTTTGTATGTTCCGAGAATTAAGTGTGGCCTGGTATCTTTTTGCAAGATGTCAAAGGGTCAAGGCTGTATTGTTAACTTTACTGTTGTTGGTTGTGAGTTACCGGACTTGGCTTTGGGGAGGAGGATTGATAATGCTAGTGAATGGGATTGACGCTTCTACCCAAAAGGTTTTAGGCCAAAGGAAAGGAAGAATTGTTTTTCCTCCCTGTTTCTACAAATAAAGAGGTTACGTCATGGCACTATAGTTTGGGCAACCCTAGTTTCAGTTACATGCACCCTAAAATTATCCATAAAAAACTCTTCTTTTCAATGTGATGTGTGCCAAATAGCCAAACATGCCCGATATCTTAAGGATTATGGAATTCATCACCAAAACTCTTGTCTAAATACACCACAACAAAACAGTGTAATTGAGTGGAAAATAGGTGCCTGTAAGTTCAAAAGTTTATTCTGTCACCAATAATGTTTCAACCAACTAGGAAGACGGAGGTCTGGTTGCAGCTGTCCTGATAAGTATGATGCCTTAGAAACCCCAAGAGACTCCTTTGCAAAACTCTTTGAAGCCTTTCCTCTCTCTTTCTCTCATATCTACTATACCTCAAAGGGTTTTTTGGGTGCATTATGCTTGTTCATAATAATGAAGGTGGTAAATTGGACACATGATCAATAAAATTGATTCCTTAGGTACTCACCGTCTAAGAAGGATCATACGTGCTATTGTTCTAACGCATGTGAGGTGTATGTAACCCATATAACCCATTCAGGGAAGAATAAGACAGATGAATGTGTGATTTTTAGTCATGGTATATTTGAATTGTGATCGCGTGGCACAACCTGTTCAGCCCTATATCAGGCCTCAAACTACTTTCAACCCACTGATCTGATTGAAAATGATACTATGAACAGCCCCAATACGTGTGATAGATATCATTCTACCCTAAACAACCCTGATGCTGTTCATGACAGCAACGCTTAGCCTCTATCAAGACTTGAAAATGATAGTGTAACTAAGACTATGGTGGACAAACCTAAGATCAAAGTGTTGCAGGTGTACTCTAGAAGGAATAAAGAGGCCAAGCAATAGTCTGCAGAGGTGGAAGTCCAACCATTCTTGAAGAAGACCAAGATATTCGGATCCAATGTTTGAAGATCTAGGGTGGTCCATTGCCTTAAGGAAAGTGGTAAGAGCTTGTACAAAACATCCTATCAGTATGTTTCTTATGAAAAACTTCGTCCCCATGCCTGCAGACTAATGTTGATGCATCCAATGAGAAGCAGTTTGAAACTTCTTAGGAGGCAATTTAATATGTAAATTGGATGGAGGCCATTAATGAAGAGCTCACCCTTTGGAGAAGAACCATCCTAGGAAAATCATTTATTTGCTAATGGAAAATTTATAGCTAGGTGTAAGTGGGTACATAAAATTAGATAAAATCCAGATGGCAATGTGAGCAACTTCAAGGCAAGATTAGTTGTAAAAGAATTCACCAAGACTCATGCCATAGATTATTTGGAAACGATTGCCCTTGTGGCTAAATTGAACACTGTTGGATATAAATTGGAAACATGTTGAAGATGTTTTCTAGCTGTGGAAATTGCTAGATCGATCAAGGGAATCAGTGAATCACAATGTAAGTACACATTATGCTTGTTGAAGGAAACACGGATGCTGGATGCAATAACACCTATGGAAACTCCTTGTAAGCTTGATATAAAACCAATTGGAAACATGGTGGAGATAGGAAGATATTAGGGACTTGTAGGGCAATTGATATGCTTTCTAAAGAGCATGATATGAGCTAGTCTACAAGGAAATGGCAAGAAGAGCATATGGAAGTGGTTTATAGAATTCTATGGTACTTGAATATGACGCTTGGAAAAATTGTGTTTTGTAAAAGGACATGATAGAAATGTAGAAGTATATATATATATATATAGACTAGGTTGGATCAATCACTAATAGGAGATCTACTGCCAAGTATTATACCTTTGTCCCGAGTAGTCTAGTCATATGGAGCATCAAGAAGTAGCTTGTGGTGCCTAGGAGTACTGCAAAGGTTGAATATAGAGCATTGGCTCTAGGAATTTGTGAGGGAATGTAGATACAAAGGCTAATATGGACACCGTTGGAATGATAGGATATCCAATACATCATGATATCACTAAGCATATGAAAGTTGATAGTCACTTAATGAAAGAGAGGATCGATTCAGGCATTGTTAATTTAGATTATGTATCCTTAAGCTCTAAGCTGCAAGTTTTATGACCAAGGCACTCTTAAAGAGAGAAATTCAAATTGCTAAATAGTTGGGAGTGATCAACATGTGCCCTAACTTGAGAGGGAATGTTGGCAAAGTATTGAGTGCAAACTAGGTCCAATAATACTACATTGTTTGAACCCCCATTTCAATCCCATGGCGCTTTATTTTACCAAGGGATATCTATTGGTTTAATCATGGATTTTCCAATTGATTTATGGTTTGAGATGCAAATTTGCCCTAGATTTTATCACTCATGATCACTGGGGATGCAGAGGTTTTTTAGGGTTCAATATCGCCTCAGAAGTTTAAAATTGTAGCAATGTTTTCTCGTATCGTTAGTTTAAAAATATTGATGTTTTTAATGGTAGGAGGTAACATTATTACGATTAAAACTTTTGAGGTGGCATTAAACCCAATACATCCTCTAAATACCTAGCACTTCTAAGTAAAAATATCGGGGGCAAATTTGCACCTTAAACTTTGATCTATGTCCTGATTTTGTCTAATTCCTTCAGCCCTTACTTTTTGGCATTGTCTTATGTGGCTCATATATGTCTCTTTTGGAAACTAGAGGGTTTTTTAATGAGACAATTCACTTCGAAAAAAGAGTTAACATTTTAGAAATGTCCTCGTGGGATTAATGTACTTTCCCATTTATAGGCATAATTGTGTTAACTTTGTTTAGATATTTAGTTGGTTATTTTGAAGGAATTTAATGTGTTCTTTTTCTTGGAATTTCTATTCATTGAAATGAGAATCTTAGGTAACTAATGGAGTGTGAACAATTTTCTAACTAAATGATATTTAAATTTATATTAAATGTTTTCTTACAATTTTTTTTTTCAAAACTTATAATTAATGATTCCTTTTTGTATTTGCCTAAGTGTTAGGTAGAGGGCAACTTAGGTTGAAGAACTTTTAAAATGCTGTCGAAGTTTGCTCAGGAAGTAGTGTTGAAACTGCCTAATCATGTATTGAAATCTCAGCTCAAATGATCTGTCTAATTGCACTTTCTTGTCTGCAGTTATGTGAATTGTCATTTCACAAGACTCGCCATTTAAGGAATCCATACAATGAGAACTTACCAGTAAAGGTATTATTTTTTCCAGTTTTATGATCTAATATTATCTTTTCAAGATTTGTCTGCTCCATTTTTTCTTGATTTCTCATGTTACCCCCTCTAGATTGCTCTTCAGATTTACATGAGAGTAATCTTTATAAAATTGTTATTTCCTTCTTGGGTTTCCTATTGAAAAGCCCGGAGTTGACTATTGTTAGGGGCCTTAGCTATCCTTTACTTCTATTGTGAGAAGTCCCAAAGTCACTTTTGACTATTGAGAGCAGTGAACTGTTTGGCATCTCAACAATTCAGAGTTGATGTGACTGGAGGACGGGACAGAGTCATCCTTTGGGCATATTCAATTAGTCGTTTCAATGATAAGACAACGTTGATTTCTGGTTATGCATTGTGAAGGCTTTTTTGGATTGAAGACATTAGGCTCATGCATTAAGTTTTTCAGCTTATGTCCTTGTTGCTTTCGAATTATTGGGAAAGTGATTAATTCATTGATAACCACACCAAGAACAAGCTGTTTCAAATGTGCCTGACTTAGTTTTGCTGAATGGAAGATATAGCAATTTATAGTTTTCATGTTTGTAGAAATGTAGAAATAGAGTAAGATTTCGAGAATAAAGCGTTCAGTGAAATGATCTGTATTTGAACAACATATATAGGTAGGGTTAGTTACTACGCTCGATATATAATGCTGCAACGTGTCTGCATGACTCTGGTACTTAATTCACATTCCTTAATAACAACACACTGAATATACTAATGAACTTGTAGCTGTTGGGCCTAGTTAGAGGGCTATGGTGTTATGTAACCATAATATATATTAAAAAGAGGGTTAGTTGGATAAGTAGTGGTGAGGGAAAGTTAGTTAAGGGACCTATGATTATAAATAGGATCCTAATTGTTGATGTATTCAGTCTTGCATGTTATTGAGAAACCCCTAGAGTATTCGGATCATTCTCTCTTGTCTCTCTGATTCCTTCTTCTCTGAAACTCTCTCTAATTCCTTTGAATCCTCTCTTTCTCTGTGTTTTCCCTATCCCCTTCCTATTCTCTTCTTTTCTTGTCAATCGTACAACATACGGCAAGAGAATAAAGACAAAAGGAGAGTATAATTAGCTGGCCAAAGGAAGAAAAAGAGAGTTGAGTGCCGTGAGTGTCACTTGGGCCATGAGTGTATAGAGCTGGATGAGAGAGATTGTGTTTGTGGGATTGGAGAGGTTTATCAAAGGACTTTGGAGGTTTGCTAGGACGCAGTCAGATTGTGTTTTTGTGAGGGAGAGTGCCTGGTCTCTTGAGCACCTAGTTGGGGTGGGAGCAAGGATCATTACTTCATCATCTTCTATTATGTTTCAGTGTGTTTTGTTTATGAGTATGTGTGTATTCCTTTCATCTCCAGTAGCTTATTTCCATTATGTGAGAGCTTGTTTCTGCTGTAGTTCTCTTCCTTCTCCCTAAAGAGGAGTGTATTTTGAATATCAGCAGTAAATGTTTGCTTAGATATCTTCTCTATATTTACTTTCTGTCAATTTCATATTTGGTTGTTTGGACTCTATCATATGCACTATACAGGATGAATATTATTATAATGATTGATGAGGCCAACCCTAAGACTGCTGTGGTGTATAATAGAAGGAAGCCCAAACAGAACCTACCGACTACTGTGGGCCCAAGGCCATCACACACCCAGCCCAATGGCCCTGAGTTAGTTTTCTAAGGTTGCGTGTGAGAAGGGAGAGACAGGCAAGGATGTGGGAAGCTTTGGGAGAGCTCTGACCTCTCTAACGTCAGGAGGGACCTATCTTGTTATTTCTATTTTCAGCTAGACAGCCATTGTCATTTTCTTCATATTTCACTGTTTCATTGCTGTTGTTATCCCTATTGGGCAGTTGTCTCCTTTTCTTCGAATATTCTAATAGAAATACAGAAGAGTATTATCCAAGTCCCATCAATGATCAAATATATCAATGTAAAATCTATACACATTCGCTCTATTCATATGCTATAAGGTATAAACATCAAAGGACCATAGATTTTGTGCAAAGCTCCAAATCCATAATTTGGTAAGAGCTTAAATAATGTAAACTATGTACGCTTTATCTTTACATACCTCAACTGCCAGAATGATTATCCTCTCTCTCTTTCTTTTTTCTCTTTTTGAGGAGAAGAATGGCGGTATTCATTAATTGATCAGTTTATATTGAAGTTTCTCAACTCTTATTCATATGTAAAGATGGTATAGGACAGAACCATATATAGTGTTGGGGAATACCCCTATAAAAGCCAACTTATATTTATAACCATAATAGATATTTTGCATGTATTTAATGATGATTTATCTTTTTTTATTCATTATTTTTATCTGCTAAGTTACGGTTTGCTGCTTGATTAATATGATGCTTCATGTAGTTAGGTTACAATCATATTGGAGCATTAACGCTTCTGTTAATTAATGTAATTGCAGATAAGCAGAGATTGCCAAGAACTGGAGCCTTCTATTGGTGAGCAGTTGGCATCCTTGCTTTATCTTGAGCCAGATAGTGAACTTATGGTATGCTTTCTTTTTGGTCTTCATCTTGGTCGTCTTTTTTTTTTTTTTGTGTGTGTGTGGTTTGGGTCGGGGGAGATCAGTTGGCTAGAAGGGGAAAGGACAGATGTTGTGCAATGAAAAAGGGGAGGGGTTTAACTGTGCTATCATTGTCGTGGTTTGATAAATTGATTGATACCAGATTGATGGATTTCCTTCGAATTCTCATTAGGCAGCCAGTTTAACCAATCATGAAACCACCCACAAAATCATAGATTGAGTGGATTCAAACAGAAGTACAATATGGGCAAGCCAGTAAAATGATAAAAAGACGAAAAAAGAAGCAAAGTTTTGCACTGCCACTCGAGGCAAGATTCTCCAGAGTGTGGACTAAACTTTTACTGTCTCACTCCATCAACCTGCCTCTCCATATAAACCCTCTAATCTTTCTCTCTTTCCATCTAACACCTTTCCATTGCATGCTATGGAACACCTACCATGGAATCTCTTACTGGTCCCCCCTTTTTCTGATGAATACTTTTTATTCTTTCTTCAATAAACCTTAATTGGCCATGGTCCAATTGGCGTAAATTCATGAGGAAGTCACTGCAGTACTAACATTATGTATAGAATCTAAGACCTGACTTCTAGATAATATACTACAAAACGAGATAATTCAACTTTCAAACAAGTATCCCATATTACACTTCCATTTTCTTTGGAAGGGGTTAATCCTGGCTCTCCATTCTCGGGTGCAGGCTGTCTCACTTGCGGCAGAGTCTAAGAGAGAGGAAGAGAAAGCAAAGGGAGTGAATCCAGAAAATGGAGGAGAAAATCCAGATATTGTTCCATTTGAGGACAATGAAGAGGAAGAAGAGGAGGAAAGCGATGAAGAGGAGGAGAGCTTTGGTCCAGGTGTTGGGCCAGCTGCTCAAGGTCGAGGTAGGGGCAGAGGTATGATGTGGCCTCCTCACATGCCTATGGGCCGTGGGGCCCGGCCTATTCCAGGAATGCAGGGTTTTCCTCCAGTAATGATGGGAGATGGATTATCCTATGGACCAGTTACTCCCGATGGATTTGGTATGCCAGATCTATTTGGTATGGGCCCTCGTGGTTTTGGTCCCTATGGTCCTAGGTTCTCTAATGATTTTGCAGGGCCCCCAGCAGCAATGATGTTTCGCGGGCGACCCTCACAACCTGGGATGTTTCCAGGTGGTGGGTTTGGGATGATGATGAATCCTTCACGTGCTCCCTTTATGGGTGGAATGGGGGCTGCAGGTGGAAATCCACCACGGGCAGGTAGACCAGGCGGTATGCCTCCAATGTTCATGCCACCCCCGCAACATCAGAACACCAACCGTCTTACTAGGAGAGATCAAAGAACTAATGATCGGAATGATAGATATGGTTCAGGGCCAGAGCAGGGAAAGGGTCCAGACATGATGGGTCAGGCAGGTGGACCCGATGATGACATGCAATATCAGCAAGGATTCAACGCATCCCAGGAGGATCAGTATGCTGTCGGAAACAACCTGAGAAATGAAGAGAGTGAAAGTGAGGATGAGGCACCTCGGAGATCCAGACACGGTGAAGGGAAAAAAAGAAAAGGCGAAGTCTAGAAGATGCTGACTCAGACTAATAACAAGTTTTTGCTATTCCCTGAACACCAGAACTGCTGATCCACTCACTCGGGGACGACTTTTCTTGCCTTAGGCTGTCCTCCTTTTTTGTTTCTTGATCTTTTTTAACGGAATAAGACCACAAGATCTTGTGAGTTGTCTTTTGCATGAAGGACTCTTGGGTTGCGGCAGAAAATATTATTTGAAGTTGTGTTCACTAGTCATTAATTGTTTGTTTCTTAATGTGAATATGTTTCATATAGGACGTTAACTATTCATGTAACAGTATTAGAGTATCAGAATGATGATTCCATGGTCGAACCTGATGAATCCATTACACCATGTGATCTGTAAGGTACTCTTATATTATAGAGCTCTATTAAAAAAGGTCAGGCAGTTTACATGTTACACCCATGTAGTTTGCGTTTGTGCTTAATGCGTGTAAGTGCCAAGTGGTGGGTGGATTGACTATTGCATAAGGATATTTGCTGCACGAATTTGTTAATTGGCTTGCTAGATTGGCGCCGTGACCTTGATGTTAATTTTTGATCTCTCACTGACCTTAAAATAAGATGCTAATTTGATGTTTTATTTGAAGTTGATTTTACTTCAATTAACACGTTAATTTGCACTTTGAAAATATTTAACGCTGAAGCTATTATTATCATCATCATTATTATTATTATTAATGTAATTAACAAATAAAAAAAAACCCATTGGAACTGTCAGGTTAGAATAATTAAGTTTTTGTTATCAACAAAAGTGGACAAGAAATGAAATTAAGAAAAATGACACGGGTATATTGTATTTCTTCACTTGTTTTATTATAAACAGTGTTACAAATAGGTTATACTTGCACTTAAATGATAGATAGTGAACAATAAATTATATAAATGTGAGTAGAGGTAAGCTACAAGATTAAATGCTAATGGAGTAATAGAGGAGTAATGCCCAATAGAAATAGTGGGAGTACATGAAGTAGAAAAGAAGAGTAGATGGATATCCACACTTTTAATATTCATAACACTCCCCCTTATGCAAGAATATGCATAAGGAGTAATGAAGTAGAAAAGAAGAGTAGATAGATGTCCATTATGTAAGAATATGCCTCATTACAAAAATTCAACGAGGAAAAAACCAGTGCAACAAAAATCCAATAGAAGAAAAAAAGTACATATTCATTGATATATTATCCAGTATTGCCTGATTAAAAACCTTGTCAAGAAAACCCAATGGAAAAAACCATAAACAAGGAGTAAAAAGTACAACTTGTATTAACTCCCTTTTTTGGTGATATCAATTGATATCCTTGAGTTTTCAACATTTAATCTCATGAACAAGCTTTTCAAATATTATAGCTGGAAGTGACTTGGTAAACCAATCGGCTAGATTTTGATTTGAAATGGATCTGCTAGATATTAATTTCACCATCTTTTGAATATTATGAAACAAATACTCTGTTTGGGATTATCGACATGTGGATCAAATAGGAATCTATGATCCACATAGTCAACAAGATTAGTCTTGGATATATTTAGATAAAATAGTCTCATGTTTATAGTACCTTTATGCTAACAAAGAATGTATTTAACTCTATTCCAATGTGTTTGTATTGGTGAAGAATTATATTTTACCAGTAAGTTAATCACAAATGATATATTGGGTTATGTATAGCTAGCAAGACACAAAAGTGCACCAATTGCACAAAGATATAGTACTTCTGGACCAAGTAGTTCTTCATATTTACCTCCAAAGATTGTACAACTACTAAAGTACATAATAGATATGATTTATCTATATAAAAACATTTTAAAATCTTTCTTGTGTCAATTACTTGATACAGAAAAATTTTATTTCTTAAGTATTTAATTTGCAATCCAAGAAAAAATTTTGTTCTTACCGAGTCCTTCATTTCAAATTCTTTGAGTAAGCAATTCATAGTTTTATGAGCTCTTCAGGAGTCAATTCATAGTTTTTGCAAGCTTTTCAAGAGTTTCATTGATATTTATTAAATATTGTTTTCGAGAACTTAAATTGTATGCTTCTGATAACTTGAATCCTTCATAAAATTTCTGATATTTTGATCCAAAACTATAAACTGGATGGTATATACTTAGATTATTTTAATCTTCATAACATTAATTTTCTTGTAAGTTTTTCTGGCATATTTTGGATCCTTCAATAATTATCATGTAAATCTTACTATTTAATAAGCCTTATGGATAAGCTATAACAATATCTAACTCATGCATATCTTGTTTTTCATATACTACTAGATTATATATGCACAAATAATTACATCCACCACAAAATAATATGTCTCATCATAACCTTATATTGATTTTCACATAAACATTCATATATTCCATAAAACTTTATATTTCATGTGTTTGGATGGCAAGTCCATAATTTTGACATTTGAAAGAATATAATCATATTTTCATTACATCTTTTTTCTTTTACTTTACCTTTTGGTTGATTTTCTATTTGCTATTATTATCAAAATAGCTGTCAACAATTTTATCTTATTAGTTCTATTTTTTTTCTGGTAACATAACTTATTGAGATTCTTTTCTTACTTTTCAAGTACTTGAACCTCTTTTGGAGTTTTGCAATTAGTTATGTCTTGCACTCTTCTGGAGTGCATGCCTTCACAATATGACTTCTAAATTTTATACTCCTTTTTATCCAGGATATTCATATTAGAACCGATTAACTTCTCATACTTCGAGCATGTCTCACTTGTTTTATGCTAACAGAGCATTGTAAGTTGGAATAAGACATATAGAAATTCTCATTAAGGTTAGTAATTACATTTGGTAGATATTTTGTAATATTTCGTGAATACAATGTTTGATGAACTTCTAGTCTATACTAATATATTTGAGGATCTATATTTGATAGTAATAATGCATTCTATTCATTCTCTTTTTTGGCTACTCAATTTTTTCCCCTTATGTTGAGAGAACTTTGTTGAAATAAGTCTCTTAAATTCATTTAATTTCTTTAGAAACATCACGTTGTTCCATTTAGAGACAAAGAAGAAAAAGGAGGTTCTTACCTAACATTTATCCTAACTTTCTTTAAATATCTATCTATGTACATTGTGGTGGATTAATGGGAATAAACATTGCACATTTAAACTCTTGATGGCAAACATATAGCTTCTAACCAAAAGCCAATTTTATTAAGAGGTTTCTTCTAGCTTGATAAGTGCTACAATATATCAAATTAAATATGCCAACAATAAAATGAAAAACTTGTTCTCATAAAATGTTGATCCAGCTAATCATAGAGGTATTAACAAATGATCTTGCTAAATCATTTTCTTTAGTAGTTTTTTCAACTGTTTTTCTATTAAGCATATGATAATCATTGGAAGCCTAATGCGTAAGTTCACTGGCATCTTTAAGATCAAATTTTAAGAATCACATTGTCTAAAAACCTAGCATAATGGTTTATGTAAACAATCTTACAAACTTCAGGTTGCAAACTAATATCAATCACACATGTTTTTTTCTTATAAATACATTTATCAAATACTTATATGGCTTACGTGCTATCTAAATGAGCCCATATGTGTGAGTTTGATGTATTTTCAAAAATGGAGAGATCCATATCAAATCATAACTAATGATATTCTCTTAATTTTTTTTCTAAGAACAAGAAGAATATAAGAATTTTGAAACTGTATAATATGTTGGCTATTCATTAAGAATCTTCTAGTTCTTCATAATGGATATCAATACATAATGCTTAATAATTTGTTGCATCATATATATATATATATATTCAGGATGATCAAGCAATTCGTGCCAACAATAAATTCAATTAGTAAACTTCTAATTTATTGTACCATGTTTCCTAACCAATAGTAAACATTTCAATTTCTATAACATATGATTGATTTTATATGATATCCATTTGTGAGATTAATTAAATTGTGTGGCAAAGTACGAGAAGGACTTTATCCAACATACACTTACACTTGTATTTAAACAAGGAAAAATCCCAAAAAAATGATTGTTGAATTTTAAAATTTTAAATCAGTATTAGTTACTACACCCGTAAAAAAAATTACTATAAAAATGGCAACACATTTTTATAGTAATTTCTTATTTAGAATTTTGAAATTCAATAATCATTTTTTTTTGGATTTTTCCTTTAAACAATCTCCCCTTCAAGTAGGGCTGTTCACGGGACGGATTGGGACTAGGACAGGCCTGTTCCGGTTCCATCCCGATGAACAGTAATGGGACAGATTTTCTGTCCCGTGTCCTAGCCTGTCCTGGGGTTGTCCCGATCAGACGGGACGGATCTGGGACGGGATCGGGATGTCCTGAACTTTTTTTTAAAATTTTTTTAATTTTTTTAATAAAATTTGATTTTTTTAATTATATTTTTTTGGGCTTAAACCTTATAAAAACATCTTTTTATTTTCTTTTTTATTTGTTTGGGCACTCATAAACAAAAGTTCAAAATATTACATATAATAATCATTAAAAACTCTAAACAAAAGCTTTTAACACAATAAAAACTTGCTAAAAATTCTAATAATCAATAATCTCAAATCATTAACAAATATAAAAACTCGAAATAAATATATCCATAGTTCCATACAATAATATCAAATCTTAAAAAAATATGAAAAAAATAATATTATATAAATAGGATAAAAATTAAAAAAATTAAAAAAAAAAGAACCGGGATGGGACGACCCTATCCCGTCCCACTCCCTAGTTAGGATTCATAACAAAAATCAATAATCCATTCATAGGAAAAGCTTTTCCCACATCAAGTACTAATATTTTGATTTTTAACGTATAATTAGATGGGGGAACGGGCCGACCGGGACGGGCCGGCCTTGAACGCCCCTACCTTCAAGTGTGAGTCATACAAACATAATTCTTTTATTTATGTATTTTAAAAACAGTATGACTGGTATATAATATGCCAATAATGCATTTTTTGCTTAGAAGTTCAAGTACTTCCTAGTTCATATAACTATGGATTTTAATTCAATTGGACTATCACTTTCAGGCCTTTTGGAGAACCAATGTTGTGATATAGATCTAGAGGGGTCATATTTTTACTACCAACTCATCCTTCCATAAAAGATAATCTGTATTAGTTCTCCAAGAACTATGTTCTTTAGGAGCAATATTAATATTGTTACACATAATTTCTTAGGAATTATATAATTTGTGAAGTATGTGAAGACAAATTCATTTCGATATATCAATAAGATAATAATAAATAATTACAAGTATTAAATATTTAACTTGCAATATATTAGAAAACACACAAAACGTTAGAAAAACCTTTAATTTTTGATAATAGAATAACATGATTGTTTATTATTATCTATGCAAATCGTTTAATTTTTCTATAATAGTTATTTGATTTGAATAATTAGGCTTTTTTTTACTAATTATAAATGTTCTTCTTTAAATAAATAAAAATAAAATAGATAATATAATTTAATGCAATATAATACATAGATAA